TCAAACAGAGGCTCTTCGCTGTCAAACCCGAATCGCTGTATTCACGCAATTCGATTAAAATTTACATGTAACAAGGTGTATATTATTTTTGTTTCTGGCGGTGTGAAAATTGTTTTCTCTTATTCCCCCCAAAAGCCAAAAGAAGTAAAATCCCCCTAAAAAAATTATAATATCAACCTTGAAGACCTCATTTTTTATCGAACTCTCTAGTCTCCCCCCCTCCTATATATCCAAACAAAACCTTCTCTTTCTCTCTCTCTCTCTTTATTCTCTCTCTCTCTCTCTCACACACTAAAACAATGGCTTCGCCAAGTCCACTTCAGCACTTTTCACTGAAACCCAAGAGAGCCAACCTGTACTACATGACGTTAGTCGCCGTCCTCTGCACGCTCTGCTACCTCGTCGGAATTTGGCAGCACTCCACCGGCACCACCGCCATCACCGCTGACATATCCACCTCCGACTCCTCCTGTCCCCCAATCACCAGGAACACAACAATCCACCTCGACTTCGAGGCCCACCACCGCGCCGAGGACCTCCCCCTACCTCCGGCGGCGGCGCGTGTGTCTCACCTGCCGCCCTGCGACGCAAAGCTCAGCGAGTACACGCCGTGCCAGGACGTCACGAGGTCGCTGAAATTCGACAGGGAGAGGTTGGTTTACAGGGAGAGGCATTGTCCGGAGAAGGGGGAGCTTCTCAAGTGCCGGATTCCGGCGCCCCACGGGTATAAGGTGCCATTTCAGTGGCCGGAGAGCAGAGACTCTGTTTGGTACGCGAATGTGCCGCACAAGGAGTTGACCGTGGAGAAGAAGAAGCAGAATTGGGTTCAATACGAAGGGGACCGGTTTAGATTCCCTGGTGGTGGGACCATGTTTCCTCGTGGTGCGGATGCGTATATTGATGAAATCGGGAAATTGATCAATCTCAGAGATGGGTCTGTACGAACCGCCATTGATACCGGTTGTGGGGTAAGTAAACGGTCTTTTCTTTATTTTCTTTATAATTAAAAAAAAAAGAAAAAAGAGAAATAAACTGTGATTTGTTGTTCTAAGTTTGGTGATTGGTGGTTCGGTTGTAGCTGCCATGTTCAATTTGTTATTGTTGATGTTTTGTTTTTGGGTGTGTATGGGCATCAATATGTATGTGCATGCTTATGTGTGTGTGTATATATGCATCATTCGTTATTTGTTAAGACGTTTGTTTATTCTTGTCAGACAGTCTGAGATGTTATAAATCGAAAATTTATGACATGAATTTTTTTCTGTTACGGTGTCATAAAGAAAATTTGGCACATTCATAAGACAAATTCTTGTCTGAATGCGTAATCAATATTTTCGATTGTCTGATAAGAAAACATTATCATTTACGTGTCTGTTAACACCAATGGGAATATTTTATTTCTCAATCGGTTCTTTGTTTTTACCTTTCTTTTTTTAAAGTTTGAGTAATGGGAAAGTAAAGCTTGAAAAGGGCTATCGGGTCTGATTGGATTTTATTTTTATTTGTTTCCTTTTGTTTTAGCATGCATATAAATAACAATTTGAGTCATTCAAGGAAGCACCAATTTGCCAAAGAAAGTAACTAAAGGAAACTTCCCTTTGTGATCCACATATGGGAGAGAGCTCAATACTCACCTTATAATTTTTTTTTAAATGACCATTTTAACAATTGTTTTTATCATTGTCTTAATAGAGGCATGTATGGTTCTCTCTTGGTGGACCCAGAAAGGCAATATGTAGAAATTAAGAGAATTTTTAAATATGTTTCTTCTTCGGCATAATATGATATAGGAGATTAGCAAGACAAAAAATCGGGGTTGGTATGATGGTGAGATTCCACATTATATTGGGAATTAACAATGAAACAGGAAATGGTTTTTGAAAACCATGTACTCCAGCTTGTCTGAATTAAATTTAGTTTTTATATATCAACCGGGCTCCGAAACATATTAAAATTTCTCCTATAGTTGGTAGGTCTTATTCAGGTTTCCCATTTTAATTCAATTTTTAAATAATTTGTTTCAGGATCTACATTTCTGATACAATTTTCTAGTGGGAATTAGACAATGAAAATCACCTCAAAATAGTTTTATTTATTTATTATGGGGTTGTAAATTGTAATTGACACTGAATTACTGGTTGGCTACAAACCCTACAACCTTCTATTATGTGTAGTCTTGGCATTGAAGTAAAGTGTTTATATCATTATTAATTAGCATTGGCAGAAGGGAGAAAGCAATTCTTGCGATGTACTACTTTTTCTTTATAGTGTTAGTAGTTAATGTGCTTTAATTATTTTAAACTAATGTTAAAGAATATGTTAGTTACTTGCCAACCTTCCTCAATTATAGCATCTTCAAATTTACGCATATTGCTTTGTTCTCATTGTCATTAAAAAAAAAAAAAAATTGTCAATAAATTTTATTTAATGAAATTGTAATGAGAATTATTTAAAGAACGAAAATGTTTGGCCAACCAAATCTAGCCCAGTGCAAAAGGGTATTGACTTGAAAACTAGTGGTCTTAGGTTCAAACTCTCATGGCACCAATGTTAACATTTGATGTGTTTTATGTGTAATTTTAGTAAGGTGACAATTGTTTTTAATATTTTGACTCAGGTTGCAAGTTGGGGAGCTTACCTTTTGTCCAGGGACATCCTACCAATGTCATTTGCACCAAGAGACACCCATGAAGCACAAGTTCAATTTGCTCTTGAGAGAGGAGTTCCTGCATTGATTGGCATTCTTGCTTCCCAGAGACTCCCTTACCCCTCAAGAGCTTTTGACATGGCTCATTGCTCTCGTTGCCTCATTCCCTGGGGCCAATATGGTAAAACCACTATGACACTGCCATTTATAATCACATCATCTCTGCTCCTCAAGTTCTTGTTTAAAATTTGGGGTTTTTATTACGCAGATGGGCTTTACTTAATCGAAGTTGATCGAGTTTTGCGTCCCGGTGGATACTGGATTCTGTCTGGACCACCAATTAATTGGGAGAAGCACTGGAAAGGCTGGGATAGAACAGCTGAGGACCTTAAAGCTGAACAGACTATGATTGAGAATGTAGCAAAAAGCTTGTGCTGGAAGAAATTGAAGCAGAAGGATGATCTTGCTGTTTGGCAAAAACCCACCAACCATGTCCATTGTAAGGTCAATAGAAAGGTCTTCAAGAAACCATCCTTCTGCCAAGCTGAAGATCCAGACAAAGCATGGTAATGTGCTTTTCTAATATCAACATGTTACTTTCTTTTCCTTTCTTAAACTACAAGTCTCAGTTTCTGAATTTCAATTTTTCTTTAATGGGTTTTTGTGGAATTTTGTTTTACCTTTGTGGGATCTCTAAATAGATAGGAAATGAAATTCTGTACATGAAGTTCTTTTGACAGTCACACATGGTGTTAGTTAAACTGTCCAAGTCCAACCTTCCATACTGCCCATACCCATATGCACCTTTTTTGTTCTTTACTCAATGTTTGTTTAGCTGCCAAGAATGAAGAAACGGTTCTTAAAAAAAGGAAAGAGCGACTTGATTGGCCTCAAATGAGCTTTTATTTTATTTATTATTTAAGTTTTACTCAACACTGTTGTTTTTTTTTTTGGTTAGGTATACTACAATGGAGGATTGTTTGACCCCACTGCCTGGAGTGAACAACATTAAAGAAATTGCAGGAGGGGAATTGGCAAAATGGCCAGAGAGGCTAACTTCAGTCCCTCCAAGAATCAGTAGTGGGAGTGTGACAGGAATTACAGCTGAGATGTTCAGAGACAATACAGAGCTGTGGAAGAAAAGAGTGGCATACTACAAGACCTTGGATTATCAGTTGGCAGAGCCCGGGAGGTACCGGAATTTGCTTGACATGAACGCTTATTTGGGAGGCTTTGCAGCTGCCCTAGTTCAGGACCCTGTGTGGGTTATGAACATTGTCCCTGTTGAGGCTGAGGTTAACACCCTTGGAGTCATTTACGAACGAGGATTGATTGGAACTTATCAGAATTGGTATGCTTTTTTATGCCTCCCTAAAATACCGTAACAATAAAACTATTTGTACCATGTTTACAAATCACATAGTAAACCACATAACAAATTGAAGTGGAACCAGCTTATACGATTGAAATAACATTTCATTATATTAATTACTCTGTTAGTGTTGCTAATGACTTGTTTCATTGCAGGTGTGAGGCCATGTCTACTTACCCAAGAACCTATGACTTCATCCACTCTGATTCAGTTTTTAGTCTCTACAAGGACAGGTGACTATTCATCACCCTTGCAATCTTGAACATTGACTTGGCTGGATATAATATTGATAAATGCTATCATCAGTCGCGTGTGGGTATGTGAAGGCTTTCAAGTTATTCATTAGTATGAGTCCCACGAATGGCCCTCAACGCGCGACTGATAATAGCATGAGTCAAATTATTATAATGACGGGAGATAATGTACTAACTTGCACATAATTTATTTGTGTTGCAGATGCGAAGTTGAAGATATTCTTTTAGAAATGGATAGGATTTTAAGGCCAGAAGGTAGTATAATTTTCCGGGATGATGTGGATGTGTTGGTGAAAGTCAAGAGCATCATGGATGCAATGCAATATGATGCCACAATCGTTGACCATGAAAATGGTCCCAGACATAGAGAAAAGATATTATTGGCGGCCAAGCAGTATTGGACAGCACCAGCTCCTAGCCAAGATCAAGGAGAAAGCCAAACAGATTCATAGACATAGGGCTTCTCTTCTTTCTTGATTCAAATTGTTCAATTTTTATGTCGATAATTTGATAATGAAAATGATTTTTTTGTTTGTTTTGGCCAGCACCCGTGAATTGTGGTGTGACACTTGATTAATTTCTACACAACAATGAAAAAGAAATTTTAATGCAATATTTTACAACCAAGAACATGCTTATCTATTGACATTGCATTAAAAAAGAAAAATGTAGCCAAAGAGCCAAAGGAAACTATAACAAAAGAGAAGAGACAGCTCCCAAAGTCAAATGCCACAAAACATGTTCTCATTCATGTACCAGAAACGAAGTTCACCAGCAAAACACACCACAAGATGAACAATGACATATAGAACTGCTCATCTACTTGACTTTAATAGAACAGGTTGTATAACTCGTTTTATGCGAGTTTAATCCTGTAAGACGTGCGAAAAGCAGAACTTAGAGTATATACAAAGGGCAGCTATCCTGATAAAAACATGTTAGTTTCGTTTAGTTTGCGAGGTTTGTCGTCATACAGCAGGGATTTTGAAATTTTAACCTCCCATGAGAATTGGTTTCCAGCAACGTTAGGATCAGCCAGATTTAACATCCACTACCTTCCAAAGGCATGAGCTAGGTTCCAAGCCCAGGTCATGTACCTTAGTTCCCTAGCAAAAAAGAATCAACTGTAGACTAGACTTACACTATCAACCTTTTCATCTTGTGTCAAGTTGTATGATCAGACACGAAACTTACAAGGAAGAGAGCTCTATAATCTAAATCAATTCCAGAAACAAGGCTTCTTGTTTATTCGTCAGTCCAACTTCGCTCAATGTTAATAAGCTGTCATCAAGAGTAAACGCACGCCGAGGATATGACCTCACCTGTTCATAGAAATCAAGCAACATAATCAGGACATACAAAAACTATCTCGTTCCCGGAGTAGTACTACCGACTGAAATCTTCTCAAAGTTTAAAAAAAAATAATAATAATAAGGAAATAAAAAGTACAGAGAAGAGTAATTACCACTCTGTAAGTTCCAGGCTTCACCACTCCACCAACATCTATGAAGTCAAAAAGAATCTTAAAAGGAACAAAAAGTTTTTGTCAGTTGGGACAAAGAGAAATGCTATTAAATTTCTGTAACATTTTGAAATTTTACCTGAAGCTTGTTAAATTTGTGAAAGCGGCGGCTAAGGCGGCTGCCATTTGGCACCTTAACCAGAAGAGTCACAGCATTCTCATCATCTGATGCTGGTTCGCAAGGAAGTGAAGCACTTTTTGCAGCTAGCATTCGCTCACCTTCCTGTCATCAGTGAGACAGTAGATTGAAGGGAAAAGATTTAAAACAACTAGCCATTGAAATATAGACATGGTGATTCATTCCACCATAAACCAAACAACCAAGGGAAAGGGGCATGCTGTGTAAATTGAGGATGTCAAACCAGTCATGGAAGTTATTGGACTCTATTTCTATTCCTTCGCACATTAACAGACATATTCCAGTAGCCATGCAAACCCCCACTACAGATCCACTGCTTGGTTAAACAAAGGAATACGAGTACTCAAGGTAATCAAAGCCTATGCACGAAAAGTTACAGCTTTGTATCTGCAGATACAGACAGCACTATAACTTTGAGTTATCATATGCAGTAAGGTACTCTACGGCGAAGTCCAAATGGCCCGGGGTCTTTTATAATACATTTGGCTTATTCGAAATCGCTGGTTCCGCTTAGCAAGGATTCCACCATGAGTACTGACTACATGGAGCTTAAGCACTAAAAAAAACATGATCTTTTATCACTTTTATAAAGTTAAACCCAAAAACTTCTTCAACCATGTACAAGATCAAGAATAATTTACATAATTAAGAATTTCCTTGTATCACTGTCAATGCATCAAATTTGAGGAAAACGTCACAATTTCAAGTAATATGCGGGAAGGTAATTGAAAATCAATTGTAAATGGATTATTACTAAGAAAACGATAGGATAAAAAGAATTCAAAAAACCTACTAGATACACTTACCAATGTATCGATCTTTTTGTTGTCAGATTTGACTCCCTTTAAGTGACAAGTTCCAGGATCATTGACACCATGCATTTCCTTTTCTTTATCAGCCAAGATGGATGCAAGATACTCATCATCCTGCAAGTAATATTTCTAGTAATCAAGTGCTGGACAACACTCTCACGATAGTTATTGGGAGCAGGATGTTAAAACCTGTTGTTGTCTTAGCAATTGTCTTGTTGTTGGAGCAGATGATGAGGGGCCATGTACAGGCTGCGTATTAGGACCCAAATTTATATTTGGACGACTTGGCAAATTATTTGCATATGAAGATTTGCCAAAAAGTGCAGTCTCAAGCATTATTGCTTCGTCAAGCTCTTTGGAAGAAATGCTGCCTAACTACGAGGATATGTGCACAATTTGATTAATAATATAGCAGTCAATTTTCTTTTAATGGGCTAAATTAAAAATTTTAAAAGAAGAAGTTGATACCTCTTCACAATGAATGTCCAGGCTACCCAGCTGAAGATTTTTACCAGCATCACGCTTCAACTCTTGACTCACTTGTTTCTGTTCTACAAATTCAGCTCCATTTTGGTGCAATGACCTTCCTCGCTATAATTTAGAAAGATATTTTTTAGAACAAACAAAATCTTTTCCTTTTCAATGGAAAGATAATGAGATTTTTAATTGTCTAATTTCTCAGTTTTGACTTTGTATTTATAGTAATCAGAACTTCTGTCTGGCCTGCTCAATCAAAAAAGGCCTAAAAATTATCTGGAACGGTTTCAGCCAATAGATAGAGAACATTTGTTCCCTGCATGTGCAGCATAAAGCCCAACAGTTTCCGTTCCCACAACCTGTAGAGAAATTGTTTCATCGGGAATTCCTATACAGTTCTTATTAAAACTCTCTTTTTATTCTTCACTGTAAATTTTGTCAGTTCATGCAGACACTCATGCACATGTAACTAACTAACTATACCATGAATAGAAGTCATACCTTCCATGCCAGTTCAGGATTCCTGTCTTTCCCTTTCTCCTCACGTATCGCTTTCTCTTGTTCTGCTGTCTGAACTCAATTCATTTAAAAATAAATCAAGAACCTCAAAGATAAGGAAGCACCCCCCGCCCCCAACTCCCAACAAAAAGGAAAAAGTAATTCAAGGCTAGGAACCTTCAGGGACAATGAAAGTGCACGATCGAAATCATCATCATCATCTTGGTGAGTTTGATTTCCTGGAAGTCCATTAACAGGAGAAACCTGCATGGAAAAATCTCACAAGAGTCATAACTTCAGGAACCACAAGATATTGGTCAAAACAGTTAAATTAGCAGCAGCACACATTGAGAGCCCTGGTTTGCGTATTCAGATAAGCCACTTCAGCCTCTCGTTTTGAAGCCTCAATAGCAGCTCGAATCATTTCTTCCTCCACATCATTGCCATGTGGATTTCCTGTCATGTCCTGAATGGTAGGCCTCTGTCCTGAGAGATGAGGATAATCATTCCCTCTGTTTAAATCTACAGGAAACCCCCCCACAACTCCTGGATGTGAACTTACTGGTGCACGACCAGTAAATGCAGAACCGATCCGGTTAAGGAGATCCCTACTGTAACTAGGATCAAATAGTAATGATGGCCTGAAACTCCTAGCAGCAGAGAGAAGTGGTACAACTCCTTGTGGTGCAACTTGATTCTGCGAACTCATATGAGGGAAATTGTATGGGGGGGGGACAGCATGAGGTGCAACTTGATTCTGACCAGTCATATGAGTGAAATTGTATTGTGGGGTAGCAGCTGACCCCGGATTTGTACTGAACCAGAAAGACCAAAAGTAAAACAAGCGTCAAAGAGAGATGAGACACTAGAATGGAATGTTAAGTAAATTTACTGCTAAGGTGAGCAAGAAGATAATGAGTGAGATGAAGTCAAGATGCGATACAAGTCTCTATCTCCACCACTAAAATGTGCATTCACGGCTTCATTGAGATTGCCTCCATATTCCTGTTTATCAGCCAAGAAATACCAGACAACTCAGAAAAGATAGCCAAGACAGAACGACACATAGAGAAAATACAACTCAGCTACACGATGCAAAACATTTAAAATTCAGTTTTCAACAGGATAGTATGGTGACTGTAGATAATTATCATTCGAGAAATCCTGATCAACTAGCCACCTTAGAGGCTCGGCTCCCAAGCTCACAACCAACCAAGGACGCATGGTAAGCCTTAATGATACCAATGGCGTACAAGGCCCATGGTACTGTGTGAATGATAAATATCAAGATATGCCACCTATATATAGTGTCGATGAATGGATTTAAATACAATAATAATACAAAATCTTAGCGCACTATATATGCCTTAATGAGCTCATCAAATACTGCAATGGCAGAGCCAATTCAGTTAAGACCTATCCACAGAGTCTTTACTCTTTGTAATACTTCTACATTCCCATTCAAGCTACTTAAAAAACAAAATGAGGAAATTACGTTCCATTCGGCCTATTAAATTCGCACAAACAACTGAATCTTATCTGGAAATAAATGTATAACTTCTACATGAAAGAAAAGAAAAGTTGATGTTCTTTCCTTTCAGAAAATTACTAATGATCTTCTTTAAGCATATCACCCTCAATTTTGCGTAGAACTGAAGCATGATAGCTACATTTTACCAAGAACTCATGAAATTGCACAATCTTGCCATAAGAAAATGGAACAGGAAACCCTAGGCAGCACAGCGACACCGTTTAGCTCATTTTGAGAAAAATAAAACTACAAGATAATAACGATAATCTACAAAGATTCAGAGAACGAAACACGGCGGGAATGTATGCTTAATTACTGAAAATTTTAAGAAATTAAGAGCGAGAGAGAGAGAATCGAACTTCAAGCTTTCGCAGCGCGAGTGAGTGAGAGGCGCCGGTGATGCTCATGTACGTGTCGATCATGTCCTGCGTGGGGCTCGCCATTGCCGTTTTGCTTTCAGCGAAAAATTGCAGAGAGAGAGAGAGAGAGAGAGTTGCGGTGCGGAATCCAATGCTATTGTCTTGAGTGGGTGAAAAAGATTAGTGAAGAGTGAGGAGGGTCGATGCAGAACGAGAATCAAAGGGAACACAGCAACAGCTTTTGCGCGCCTTTTTTTCTCCACAGGACACGTGTCTAAAGCAATTGCAATGATTACCTCATCACGTAGCGTGCGCCGAAATTATTGAGACCAGAGTCGCTTCATGTTGAATTCTTTATCCTTTTCTGAGACCGTTTGTATATGTTCCCGACCCAAAGCAAAGAAAAATATGGGACATTTTGTATAAGAGTTATTAGAAGTTAATCGAGCTGATTTTCTCACTTCAATTTTGTTTAATTATAGTCTTTTTGTTGAAAGTTGTATGTTCTCGCCCATCTATTATTCACTTATACTCCCTTATATATTATAATAATTTTTTTTTAAAAAAAGAAGTATAAGTATGCATTAAGGAACAAAATGAGTCGAAAGGCCCCATAAAATGGTCGGAATTATGGTTGTGGACAGCCTGTGGAGGTCTAAGCAGACCTCATGAAGAGCAGCATAACGACCCCAAAATGCATGCAAGGTGCTCGACAAAAGGCCATAACAAAGCCTGTGCGCAGTGGGTATTTTTTTTATTTATAAAATTGTCTGGCCAAAAGAAAGTTATTTTGGTCTAGGCCGTTTCAAATTTTTTTTAATGACCTGGCATCAAAACGAAGTTCTACTTCACTTGAAAATGTAGATGTAGTTGACGCAGGGTAGGACAAACAAGAAGATATGCTCTCTTTCATTTTATTTAAATTATGTATTTGTTGTTGGGTTTTATTATTTATATGTTTATTTGCCCTATTGAAGTCCAACCAAAAAAAAATCGGCTGAAAGCTAAAATTTGAAAAATTGAACATGTCCTAGGCAGTGAACATTAACAAAATTTATAATTTTAGTGATTAATTTATCTATAATAGGAGTTCTCCAAAAAACCCTTCTTCTTCCTTCCGAGTATTAGACAGAGGGTCTCTAGGGTAGGTTAGGGTTGATGGTAGAGTATTAGTGTGTGCGTCTATTTTATTATTATTATTATTATTATTTATCCATTTTTACTGAATAATTGGATAGGAAATGACTCTTTGTCTTAAAAAAAATGCCTCAACAATTTAGACTAAAAAAGTTTCGACACTTTTACATTGTGACCCTATGACTCGAGGATCATGGATCCGCCATTGAGTTTAAGAGGACAAAAATAGAGTGGAAAAATCACTAACCTATTTTAATTTATTCAATGAACAGGAGTGCAAATTATTAGCCACATATGTTTTTGTGATTTTGACACATAGAGGGAGATCGAACTTGAATACAAGGAGGAGAGCATATTTTCAACTAACCTAATTAAGTCTGCAATATAATTTGGAAAAAAAATTGAGATATCAAGCCAAAAAGGCATTATAACGAAAATTCTTTAAATCTACGTAATGGCTTGAGATGGGGGGCCGAAATATATATACATATATAGTTTTTTCTATCTTTTAAAAAGATGAAATTAGAAGTTCTTTTTAATTTTTATTAATTTGTATACAAGTAGTAATGGTGAAGGGAGGAATTGAACCTAAGACCTCATATGCATGAATAAATGCTCTTAACCACTTGAGTTATAAGTCCCTCACAACTAAGTTCTATTCTTATATGAAAATGATTAAGTTCTTATAGGATTTCGGAAAGAATGAGGTCGAGTAATAGTTTAATTGTGGTTGTTTCTCGATAAAACATTTGTGATACAACCATAAAATACCCTTCCTCTTCAAAGAAAAAACCTAGCCGCATACACCAGTTATCTAATCCATACTTGTGGAGGGCTTTTTTTCTTAGCCAATTTTGTGCTAGGCTTTTGTCTCCCTTGTGTATTGCAAGGTTTGTCTCCCTTAGTTGTTCACCTAATTTTTTTTTTTTGGCATGTACTGTGTTGTCCTTGCAATTTTGGGGTTGGTGAGGTGGATTTTCACCAGATCTCTATGTTGAGGGGTGCAATTGTTGATTTTGTGGATCTATTTTGATTGGTGCTTTGGTTTTAGGAGTGTGTGGGAGACGTTGTGACCATCTGTCCAGGTGGAAGCTGAGCGAGATTTGCTTTTTCACTTGTAGGTGTTTCCTATCCCCAACTCCTAAACAGATAGAGAGTTCTCATATCTCATATGACTTTCTTGGAGAACTGGATGCAGTGGCGTTATGGATCTTCTTATGTCTTTAAATTCCTAATGAAATGGGTCTTGAAGATGTGAAATTATTTTTACTCATTGTCTTGCAATAGTTGTGTTTATTATTTGCGAGAGCCTCTTGTGAGCCTATCTTCTTATATTGCTCATTTATTAATTGTTACCAGTATAATATTAAAAACTAGTAATAATATGGTCATTTCTATGGGTATGATGTGTTTTATGGGCCCTCTTCTACGGTGTCATCTTCTTAACATGGTCTAGTGCTGCAAGATAGGCCATCTTCTTAACATGGGCTTAGCTTGTCTTTAGTTGATTTTTGAAATGAGGTTTTCTATTTTGAACACCGAAATATATGTTAAAAGGGTCACGCGCGAATCATGTAGAATTTGTTTGACGAGAAAATAAGAATAAGAATTTTAATTGAAGAGGTTTCAAGTTAGTTTCAATTTAAAATTTTATTTTCTATTTAAAATTGAATCCACCAACACAATTGTTCACCAAAATCACATTCTTTATTTTCTATTTTCCATAATTAGTTGTAAAACATACACTAAGATGGTTAATTTATTTTGATTTTGAATTTAATTTTTCAGCCCTAAACCATAAAAGTAAAATTGATGGGTGTATTGATTAGATTTTAGGGTGCATCTAAATTTTCTTTGCATATAAGAGCATCTTCAACCGATGTGTTAAACGTGCCACATAGACATTTAACAGCTAAAAATAACATCTCACATCACTCCAACCGATATGTCAAAGCTGATGTGGAATGAAAGCTGGAGGTTGATATGTTATTTTTGACATCCCAAAAGCAAGATGTCAAATGAATATTTTATTATTTTTTCTTTTCTTTTCTTTTTAATTAAAAATGAATCAACACTAAAATGTAATAAAATAATAATTTAATTTGACATATCAGGTGGAGTGTAAAGCTGTGTAAGAGCATCTCCAACCGATGTGTCAAAAGTGCCACATAGACCTTTAACAGCTAGAAATAACATCTCACATCACTCCAACCGATGTGTCAAAGCTGATGTGGAATGAAGGCTGGAGGTTGAGATGTTATTTTTGACATCCCAAAAGTAAGATGTCAAATGAATATTTTATTATTTTATTATTTTCTTTTCTTTTTAATTTAAAATAAATCAACACTAAAATGTAATAAAATAATAATTTAATTTGACATATCGGGTGGAGTGTAAAGCTGTGTAAGATGTCAAATAGCCACATCAGCCATCAAATTTAAATTTGATGTTTGGTATTTGACATATCCCTTGGAGATGCTCTAAGATGTCAAATTGCCACATCAATCATCAAATTTAAATTTGATGTTTGGTATTTGACATCTCCTTTGGAGATACTTTAAGGCCCCGTTTGGTTCATGGGAAAAGAGGCTTGGGAATGGGAATTCAATTGCTTTTCCACGTTTGGTAAGTCCAAACATGGAAAATGGTTGTCTGGCACATGGGAAAGCAGGGGGGAAAATGAAACCCTCATCTCAACTTGGGTTTTGTTTTCCCTCCTCATGGGAAAGTTTGGGAAAATGAGCTAACATTCAATGCACAATTTTCATAACTATTTTGTCCTCATGAACAATTTAAAATTACAATGTATCATTAAATACATTCTTTTTTTATTTGATTTAATATGGGTATAATTGGAAAATTATATAAAATTTGTTTTCCATTCCTACTCAAAACAAACATGGGAAAGGAAACAAAGTGAAATCTCCCGGTTACTTTCCCGACATTACCAAACATAGGAAATGAATATTTCATTCTCATTCCTTAGGAAATAACATGGGAATTGATTTCCCTTCAAATCCATTCCGTGAACTAAACGAGGCCTACAAAAACTGAGCTTCGAAAGGCTAAAAGCCCATAATAATTTGCCCAAATCCGAGAGTCCAGGATCTAAGCCTATAAAAATATAAAAATATAAATGATAGTCAGATAGTCTGTCGTTACACGGCGTCGTTCTGTTCGCCCAAGAACCCATCTCCCTCCCTCGCTGCGCCTAGTGAGAGAGAGAGAGAGAGAGAGAGAGAAGAAAAGAAGCAGTTCAGCACCACCTGAAGAAGGTCCACAGCAATACCCTAAAACCTAAAATCTCCCAAACTTCTGCTCTAGGGCTTCACACTTTCCCAAAATGGAAGGCGACGACGAGACCTCAGGCCCAATGATTGACGACGAGATCTACGCCAACGGCGTTGGCGGTGACGACGAGAAGCGCAGCAGACCAATCATCAGCAGTGAGCCACTCGACATCGAGGCCAACGCGAG